ACTGATGCATTAGCTGAAGATCTCCATTTTAGCCTCTTAGTGGTTCCTCTAGGGTTTATGGTACACACCTTAACTTATCACTCTCTGCTGCCAAATAATATTATGCCGCCTTATGTAAAATTAAAAACTTAACCTATGCCTTCCATTTCTTCTCTCTTTCCCTTTGTGCTGTTGTCATAATTTTATTTCTAAATATGTTTAAATCCTCACAATATGTTCTCATGTTTTTGCATTAACTAGTCAACTATCTTTTCAAAAATAAAATAAATTAAAAATTAAATCTTTTATATTTTATCCACATATTTACTATTTTTAGCAATTATCATTGCTCTGTATAGATTTGAAGTTGTTACCTGGTATTGCGTTTTCCATTCCTTTGACATTTCTTGTGTGAAAGTCTATTGACAATAAATTCTTTCAGCTTCTGTTAGTCTGAAAAAGTCTTTCACCTTTGAGAAATTTTCCCCCTTATAGGGCTTTAAGGTATCATTTCATTGATTTCTGGCTTGTGTTGTTTTACTTGAGAAGTCTGTGACATTTCTTTATTTTTCTGAATATGATATATCTTTTTCCTCCAGTGGCTTTTTTTAAGATACGATTTATTTATTTATTTTAGAGAGAGAGCACATGCGTGCATGAGTGGGGGAAGGGAGAGAATCCTCAGGCTGACTCCCTGCTGAGTGCAAAGCCTGATGTGGGGCTGGATCCCAGGACCCTGTGATCATGACCTGAGCCAAAATCAAGAGTCGGACCCTCAACTGACTGAGCAACCCAAGTGCCCCCCGCTCCAGTGGCCTTTAAGAGTTACAGATTTTCAGCGTTTGATCGTATTATGCCTTGATGTGGTTTTCTTTATGTATACTCCATTTGTTTCATTTCTTGGATCTGTAGGTTTATAGTTTCAATGAAGTTTTGGAATAACTTCAGCCATTATTTCTTCTAATAACTTTTTCTACCTGCCTCCCTCTTTGCTTCTTTAGGGCTCCAATACACATAGGTTAGTCTGCTTGACATTTTCTCACAGTTCCTTGAGATTATGTTGATTTTTAAAATCTTTTTCTTTCTCTGATTCATTTTGGATAATTTATATTGCTATATATTCAATTTTTAAATTTTTCTTCTGCAATGTCTAATTTGATATTATTTCTACCCAGTGACTTTTAAGTTTCAGGCAGTGCCTTTAATTTTTAAATGTTTGGTTTGGTTCTTTTTTTATTATTATTATTTTATTTTTTGAAGATTTTATTTATTTGAGAGAGAGAGAGAGAGCTCAAGTGAGGGGGGAGGGGCAGAGGGAGAGGGCGAAGCAGACTCCCCACTGAGCAGAGAGCCCAATGTAAGCTCAATCCCAGGACCCCAAGATCATGACCTGATCTGAAGACAGCTGCATAACCAACTGAGCCACCCAGGTGCCCCCAGTTTGGTTCTTTTTAATGTCTTTTTTATTTTCACTCATTATTTTCATTTAATTTCTTGAACTTACTTTAATTTAGTGATTTATATTTCTGTCATTTTGAATTTGTTTTTATTTAATTGGTTTCCTCTTGGTTAAAGATTTTTTTACTTCTTGGAAAGCCTAGTAATTTTTTATTAGATGTTGAATATTATAATGTTAGATATTGTTGAATGTTTGGATTTTGGTATATTCCTTTAAAAATTGTAGAATTTCGTTTTTGCAAGTATTTAAGTTACTTGTAGATTGGCTTGAGGTTTTTCTTTTTTTGCTTGTTGTTAAGTATTGTTGGGGTGGATGTAAAGTAGCCTTTATTTGAAGGCTACTTTAGCATCACTATTTAGGTGATATACTTCTTAGGTCTCTACTGAATGCTTGTTGTAGTCATTAAGGCCTCTCTGGTCAGAACTTGAATAACTCTCTATTCTGAATGAGCTCTGAAAATTGTTTAATCCACAGCTTGTGGTATGTAGAATAATAAAATGACTTTAGGTGATATTCATCATTGTATAATCTCCTCCCATGGGATTTTGGTAGATCCTGTGAATACAGCCACTCTGTAATTACATTACGTTATGTGGCAAAAGGAGAATTATTCAAGGTGGGCCTGACTTCATGAGGTGAGCCATTTAATTAAAAAAAGAGATTTACTTGGCTGATTGCAGAGGAAAAAGTTCAATATATGAAAAAGCTGACTTATATATTTAGTCCAAATTTCTAGTTGTTTATAGTGGGAAGGCAACTCTGGTAGTAGTTACTTGATCATGAAATTTTAAAATTCACTTAATTTGGAGCTCACTAAATCTGAGGAAACTGAGTTAGAAGGAAAACAACTGAAAGAGACTAGCCAACTACGTCCCCCAAATATGAAAACCACTCTTTTTACCTTTTATTTTTAAGTTATTTGGAAATATTTCATAATAAGGAAGTACATAGAAAATAATACAATAAACTTCTATACACCTAAATTATCAATTTAAGAAATAAAATATTATTGATAACAGTTGAGGCCTTTGTGTCCTTCCTCCAGTCTTATCCTTCTTTTTTAAAAAAATATTTATTCATGAGAGAGAGAGAGGGTGAGCACACAAGCAGGGGTGGGCATAGGGAGAGAGAGAAACAGGCAGAGCAGACAAGTGGGCAGGGCTTGATCCCAGGACCCTGGGATCCCTACTAGCTCGGAAGGCTAACGCTTAAATGACTGAGCCACCCAGGCGCCACAAGTCTTATCTCTTTGTAGAGGTACCTGAATTTCGTGCTATTAATTCCATGCATTTCTTCATATTTTACTTTATATACATGCATCCTTAAAATAATCTTTACATTTTTTTGAAACTTATTTTAATGCTGTCAAAATGTAGCATTTTGGAGGGTTCCTTTTTTTGTGTAATGTTTTGCTGTGAGAATGAAAAATTGATATGTACTTAGAGTTCCACTGTATAGCACTGTTTATTTATCCAGTCAATAATTGAGACATATAGGCTGATTTTTTGAAGCAATGAATGCAGAAATTAACTTTTGTGTGCATGTGACAAGAACACATGTATGAGAGTTTCAGCAAGGGAATAACCTCTGTAATGAAGTCACTAGATAATAGAGTATATGCATCTTTAAGTCACTATATATTGCCAAGTATTCTTCAAAGGGGTTGTCCCAATTTGCATTCCCACCGTAGGGTTTCCAGTTGTTCTACATCCTTATAACCAGTGGTATTGTCAGAGTTAAATTATAGATAATTATATGGGTGAGAAATGCTATCTCATTGTCATCTACATTTGCATTTCCCTGGTAATTGATCATGTAGGACACCTTTTAATATGTTCACTGGCCAAATTGGCATGGAGATTATTATTCCCCAGCCTGGTTACTTCCAATTTCTCAAAAACCCCTTAGGGTTGACATAAAGATCAAACATCTAAAGTGATAAGATATGGTATGGAAAGTTTTCCTAAGTGTGAAATTATTCCCTGAGTCATTGAAATTAATTCTGGTCATCACAACATGATTCTTGCCAACCCTTCAGTTGGACCATGCTCAGTTATGGCAGACTCAGCTTCTCCCACTCTGGTTTTTCTGGTTGTAGAAAGAATAACAATAAACCTCAAGTCACTGAAGCTAAAAGACAGGCTAAGTTATAAGAAGGAATAGAACATCATTCTAGATAAGACTGGCTAATCATGGCAGGATTTGGTGAGCTTGGAAGACCACAGTGATTGTATTATATGTAAAAAAAAATCTTCAGGATTTGTTTGTTTGACTAAGGCCAGCAATGGCATCTCCATTATTCAGAATTTTCAAAATGGCTTAGATAAGAATTTGAACAGAATGATGGGCAATCTGAGTGTGCCAGTGCTATGCTAAAGGATGGAACCACAAAGTTTTGAGGGTCCTTCTTCCCTTTGTTCTGTGCCTCAGTGAGGAACTCATCCACTCAATCACAGGTTCAATCACAGGTTCTTTCCACTGCCAACATGGACATTTACACAAAACTTTTTTTTGTTTTCTAAAGAGGTAATGAGTAAAATTGTATCTTTTATAAATATACCATCAGTAAATAATTTCTGGTAGAAGAAACCAGAAAAATTACCCTGAATCTATTCTTGGTGCTAAATGGATATCACTTTGAGCACAGGGAATATGCTTTCTGCCCTTTCCATAATTTGAATTATCATTTGCTAAGCTATATGACAGTATGCTTCCTGCCTCTCCTCACAACTCTGGATCATCAATACCTTTGCCCCCACTTTAGGAATTTCACAGATTACTCAACTGTAGTGTTTCAGTGTCCTCCCCCGTGATAGTCCAAGTTACACGTAGCTGATGTAAGTAATTTAATTTGTAATTGATTTGGGAATGTACAACTGAAAGCTTTTTTGGGAATATGGTGTGGGTTATCTCTTTATATTATTTTGGGAAGACTTTATTTCATAATAACAGAAAACCTGAGGAGGATGTCATATCGTTTAGGTTTGACAACAGAAAATCGCTCTGTACCAGTTTTGATTGTTGCATTCAGTAGATTTCTCTGTGACTCAAGGACTAGAAGCTTTCTACTACCTTTGGCGAGAAAATTTCTGAATCTAGGAGATTAAATCATAGGAAGAGTTCTTCACATCAGACAAAATGTCTCCTTTATTATTTCAGGCTACCTTGATTCTTTTCTTTGCACTTCTTCGATGTTTGTTAAACCCCACTAGTCAATATAACTAGATTACAGATATGATATTTTCAAAATAATGGCCATGTCATTAGGGTATTTGATACTGCTTTCTATTGGGCCTATTTAGACACGTATGTGCATGCTTACTTTGTATTTGGTCCTGAGGTGAGCAAAAATGGAAGCAGTGTTTTTAGAACGAATTTTCTCACCTATGATAGCAATTTGTAAATATCTTACTCTCTTTTTATTTGTAGGGCCAACTTTTTAAATATGCTTCTGATCTTCTCTTATCCTATGTCATGTTGCAAAGTTGTTGCTCACTCGCTGTCCTACGGCTGTGGCCTCTTTAGATCTTCCTGACTAACGCCAGCTGTTGTCTCCCTCCAGGTCATCCAGGCTGTCTTTTTTGGTATTTGCGTGCTGACTGATCTTTCCAGTCTCCTGACTAGAGGAAGTGGGAACCAAGAACAAGAAAGGCAGCTCAAGAAGCTCATCTCACTCCGGGACTGGATGTTAGCTGTCCTGGCCTTTCCTGTTGGGGTTGTGAGTATGATTTAGAATGCATCTAATCACAAAAGAAACTTGGGTCTTATTTCAGACTTCGAAGAGAAAAAGAAGGGTTACAGTCACAAAGCACCACAGACTTGGGGGCCTAAACCAGACATTTATTTTCTCACAGTTCTGGAGACTAGAAGTTTGAGATCAAGGCATCCGCAAGGTTGATTTCTTGTGAGGCCTCTGTCCTGGGCTTGTAAGTGGCCTCTCCCTGTGTCCTCACATGCTCTCCTAATATGTGTGTCCATGTCGTATTCTCCTCTTCCTATCAGGACATCAGTCATATCAGATTAGGGCCCCTCAATGACCTCATTTAGCCTTACCTGCTTCTCTAAAGGCCCTACCTCCAAATACAGCCACATTCCTAGGTACTAGGCGGGGGGTAGGACTTCAGCCTATGAATTTTAGGGAGACACAGTTCAACCCACAGCAGTTTCTTTAGCAGCCTAAACTCGAAATGTATGGTCCTTGGGTCTATGACCATTCTAGTATTTTTTGAACTTGAGAGAGGAAGTCAGTATTAGCTTATACGTCTTCGCTCACCCGACTATGCCATTGGCTAATACCACTTAAGTAAATGCAGCTTCATGTTTGGGTCTGTTCTGGCTTCATTGATTTTCATTATTTTCTGTTAGATTCCCTCCATTGCTTGACTTCCTTCACAAGTCTGTTAATCATCCATTGTCCGTCCATAAACCATGTTTCTTTAAAGGTCCAGGGCCCCATGAGATTCTATAGATTTCACCTGTGGATCACCAGGAAAAGAGGGAGAGAACTCCTGTAAATCTCAAATTGTGAAGACAAGGAAGAGCGTGTTGCCTAATTCAAATCAGAACTTTCCTTTGCCAGCCAACACACAGGAAAAACGGAAACCCAGGTGGTCTGGTCTAGCATGTGTATCAAGCCCGAGGTCCACGGTAGGCAGAGTCAGAAGGATTTTTTTAAATCCTTCCAGGTCTATAGCTGGCAGACGATGCTTGTTCTAAGATCAATTAGTGAGCACCCAGACCACCACTGGATTGCTTTTTCTATGCACCGAATTGTATTTTCTTGATTGAAGTAGTCCTTAGCTCTTGAAAACAACACAAGGAGATTCTGATAATCTGGTCATGCTCCTCTGCTCATTCCCTCGTTTTTTTCCTTTGAAAACCTAAATGGGTGCTCAGATCGAAACCAGCTAGCATATCTCTCAAATTCCGTTGCTTAACCTGACACAGTTAGATGCTTTCCATATTATTTAGTATTTCCTTCTTTGGACTTGACATCTAAAATTCAAATACTTTCTATCAGAATAATCATCTAAGAGAAAATTTCCATTGGCACAAAGTATAAAGATTTATACTCTGTGCATGAAAGAATTATCTAGAAAATCCAAGTCTATGTGTTTTTTGTTTCTTTTTATTGGCTTATTCCCTTGGAATTTCTATAGGCATGTCATTGCCTCTGGAAATCTTCCTTGGCTAGAAGGAATACAGTAACACAATACAAAAGTAAATAGGAATACAATATTAACACATTTTCGCTTAGCTCTGCCTCTCCCTCTGTTATGCCGTATCAGACTGTGTCTCTAGGGCTTAAACTGTGCCTCTTACCACTCTCATCAAAGACACATTGCATACGCCCTTTAGACACTTTTGACATTACTTTGGCCAGAAACTTTTTGCACCTGCTTGAGACTTGAGATATTTGTCAGCTTTCAGTGTCCTTCCTGAATTTGGTCCTTGTATGCCTCATGGCTTGTAAAAAGGATGGGGGAATTTTTGTTTGCTTGTTTGATGACATTTGATACTTTCCTCTGTTTCACTATTTTTGTTGTTTTCTCTGTGTTTTGAAAAAGGGACAAGAAGTAATTATACCTTTAATTTCACCCCTCCTTTTTAACCCAGAAGTCACATCACATTTCATTGCATATGTATGCACCTCCCCTACCTGATGAGCTTCGCAGAAGAATTTAAAAAATAATGAATCAATCAGATGAGCAGCTTCACTTATTTCTTTAACTCTTATTTTTGGCTTACCCACTGATATTTTATAGTTAATATTTACATTTTTCATAATCTTCCCTGTTGTTATGAGTCACTTTCCCTTTTACAACCACTTGCCTTTTAAAAACCAACTTTTTTTTTTCATTTAAAATTCGGGTAGCCAACATACATTACATCATTAGTTTCAGATGTAGAGTTCAATAATTCATCCGTTGTGTATAACACCCAGTGCTCATCTCATCGTGTGCCCTCCCTAATGCCCATTACCCAGTTACCCCGTCCCCCCTACCCACCTCCCCTTGAGCAGCCCTCAGTTTGTTTTCCAGAATCAAGAGTCTCTCATGGTTTGTCTCCCTCTCTGATGACTTCCCATTTAGTTTTCCCTCCCTTCCCTTATGATCCTCTGCACTGTTTCTTATATTCCACATGTGAGTGAAACCACATGATAATTGTCCTTCTCTGACTGACTTATTTCACTCAGCGTAATACTCTCCAGTTCCATCCACGTCGATGGAAATGGTAAGATTTCATCCTTTCTGATGGCTGAGTAATATTGCGTTGTATATTTATACCACATCTTTATCCATCCATCTGTCGATGGACATCTGGGCTCTTTCCACAGTTTGGCTATTGTGGACATTGCTGCTATGAACACTGGGGTGCAGGTGCCCCTTCGGATCCCTACATTTGTATCTTTGGGGTAAACACCCAGTAGTGCAATTGCTGGGTCGTACTTTTTGAAGTCCCTCTGTTACATTGCTCTCTCTCTCTCTCTCTCTGTGTCTCTCTGTCTCTATTTCTCTTTGGTATTAGGAAGAATCTGGACAATATTCCCCAGAAATCTTATGTTTTCCACTGTTTCTTACTGTCATTTGACTTTTTGCATCTATTTCCCCAGTTTCTCAAGCTAATACACAGAAATTCATTCTGAGGCAAAAAACTGATAAATGGCTTCTTTTCAGCCAGACTCCATTCATTTTATAGCAAAGTCATATTTACAAAGGGCACAAATATGTCTCTTTATAAACATTTTAACACAAATTGTTTCTTTATTAAAACATAATTTTATGATTTTTCGCCTTTCTTTCCCCAAGTTAATTTCTTATCTTTCCTTTCCGGTGTGCCCTTGTCTTTGCTGTGACTTCTGAGGTTTTCCCCTGCCCCTCCTGTGTCTCCCCCGGACCCCCAGTTGCTCACCAGGGTCTGGAATTTCAGTGTGCTTGGAATCCCGTGAAGAGGTGTCATCTTTACTATTCCTGTGGTTTCGGCCTGGGACATTTCGTCTGAAGGATGGGAGTAACATCAATGCCTAGGACCTGATTGATGGGCATGTCCTTATACTTGTAGGCATCTGTGGTGCAAGAATGCTTATCATGTGTGCAAACGATTAATTATGACATTTGTAATTAAAGTCCTTTTACCATGTTGGTTGACAAAGTCAAAATCTGAAAGGGCAATACACCCGAGCACTCGCCCTGTGCCCCGAGAGCCTTGGGCATGGCTGGAGCTTCCTAAGAAGCAAGGTGCACAGCACCCACTTAGAACCTGCCTGTGGTCCCCAGAGGCCTCCGTGCTCTGACTGCCAGTGATTGCCGGCCTCGCAGCTTACCTCCCCCTCACCCCACTTTCTCCTGTCTTCCTCTGCACCTCACCTTTTGTTTGTCAGCCCGAAATTTGCTGGGAAAGTAATGTTATTTTTCTTCCCAGTGCAGGGCAGAAAGGCAAGGGGCATAATAAGGGGGCAGAGTAGCACCTCTGCTCAAATTTTCCTGAAGAGACCTCTGAGCCCCAAGCTTTGCCTGGCACACCCATTATCTCTCTCTCTCTCTCTCTCTCTCTCTCTCCCCTCAGCTGCAACTGTGGCAGCAAGAAAGACATGGGTAGGTTATCTAGGATTTGTATTGTCTCCACTAATGCTTCCTCTGATAAAGAGGTTAATTGAGAGTTGACAGTAATTGCTTTCTGTGGGCATGAAGCACTAAATATGATTTTTGTAACCCACGGACCTAATGCATCTACTTCATGGACTCTATCTCTAGAATATATAAAAATAATGAAGCATTCCAATCAAAGATAATTGGAGTAAAGTTTTGTTTGAGCATAACCTTGAAGAAATCAGGCATGGTTGCTTGAGTGAACATAGCATGTATCATCCTGATTTGTGTAGATTTCCATAAATGCAAAGCTGGCCTTTGTTAGTAACGCTAATGGCCGGAAACCACCACTACTCCCAAAGCCTTGCAACTTATTTTGCAGGGATAACCCATGGGAGGCTCTTCTTACCATGTGCAGTTTATTTCTGAACCCTGTCACCCTTTTAAAGAAGCATTACAAATAACTCTATGACATTATGTGGTCTGGAAGCACTGACGTTTATGAGGAGCAATCAAACCAAGAATGTCTTTTGTCTCCTGTGAGTTTGCTGACTTTTGTGTTAGCAGATACCCTTCTAGTTAAGAGAATCGGCTAAGACTTGCAACCAACCAAGCAAACAAACAAAAAGAGAAGGAAAAAGAGGAAGAGTAACAAAAAAAAATGAGAACGATGAGTATGAAAGTGCTTCTCTCAGAAATTCTAAATAGGTCTCCAACTGCTATCCAAAGCAGCCCCTTTAATAACAAAGAGCTCTCATACTTTCTCCATTAATTCAAGTGTATGTATCCCGTTCATTTGCAGATTCTCAGCTTGCGCGAGACATGTCATCAAATCTCACCACCTCCCCCGTACATCTTTGTCCCTGGTGTCACTTGAGTTGTTCTAGACCAGAAGCTGGGCTGTTGCTAAACTAACCTTGACTGATGGATGAAGATGAGATGTCCCTCTTGGTGGAGAGGGGGAGTGGGTCTGAGAAGGACCTTGAGATTTGGATTGTTTAACCACTGATGGGCATCCAGGGTATCCCAAGCAAACCAGCATGTGCCAAGATAAGCTTTTCTGGAATTTGGGCTTTTATATCTGAGTTTAGTCTCAGAGTTATTTGTTCAGGAACTGTCTCTGGTGTTA